TCCTGCTATTTCAGCAGTATTCTGCTGCTGTTGGTGCTTAGTAGCAATTCTTTGTTTTCTGGAAATGTATGTGTCAACAAGGAGCTTTGTCAATAGTATGACCTAATACATAAACTGGCATGGCCTTATTTAGTGTGATGTTCTGCTCCCCCTTGTCTCCTGCAAAAAGCATTCTGATTTTGCCCTGTTTTGATTGATTAACTCTGTAAATCAGGGTGTGATCATGCAGATGAAGTGATTTCTTGCAGAAATGTAAATTTTCACAAATACATAGCTTCTAACATTAGAACTTAAGAAAATGGGTCTACTAGGCAGTTACCTGTTTCTTGTATCATGGGGAATTTTTGAAGTCTCTTAATTGGAATCAGTAGAAAAGTTTTAGGGAAGATAATCCTTTTTTGTAGGTGAATTGGCTAACAACTTCCCCCTTTTTAAAAAAAAAAATCAATTATCCTTATTATATTAGAGTAATATTGAGCTGTTGAAAAAGTTTTTTGTGTTCCGTTCACATAAAGTGAAATGGTAGTATTGCAATTGTTACCTAGCCTGCTTTATTGAGGAATGATGCTCAGGAGATTGTAGGGTACTGTGCCCTTAACGGTAATAAGATTTTCCTTGTTTGTGGCAGAATTTCAAATTGTTTATATTGTTGAAATGAAATTTTGTGAGGAGGTACCAGGTTAGTAGTTTTTTAATTAATATTTGTTCTGCAAGAACTCGTCTGAAATGGTTGTGATGTTAGATCTTTGTGAGAGCCCAAGGATATGTATCACATTTTTTTTGAAGAGGTGGAGGAAGGAGAAGGTAGGGGGATAGTTTTCAGGAGAGCGCTGATGTATGCTCCTTGGAGACCTAGTCATTCTCTTACTGGATGAAGTTGGGCTGGATATTGTATCTGGATCTCAGGATGAGCTTTTAGTGATGTCATTGGCAGCCGTTACTGGTTTACTTTGTCTTACAATAGGGAAGATAATCACTTGCCAGATGTGCATTGTGAATCCTCCATTTTCAGTCTATTTTTGGTTTTTGTTGGCCTAGACAGTCAGTAATGCTGCCTTGCTCATGTGGCTGATTTGTTTTGAGTTAAGAGGCCACAGCATTCATCTGAGGCACTGAGTGCAAGCTTGTGCTTGTTTTGCTTTCAAAGGCTGTCCCGAACCACTTCACTTCAGGGAAAGAACCCTTCATGAAGGTGATACCCCTGTAAATATGTTTGTACTGACAGTTGTTTTGTAAGAAACTGACTTACAGTAAGGTTTTTTTTTTTAATTAGGAAATTACAAATAAATCAGTTACAGTTGAAACTTCAGTGAGTTTCTAAAACTTTCTGAACTGAAGACTAGGCAACCAGAGGTTTTTTTTTTAAATAGCTGGAATAAAAGTACAGTAATTAAATTAATAAACTTTATCTCACTTTGAAGTGTTTCACAAATCTTCTGAGGAGTATTATATACTCTTTAAGATTCTCCTTGCCCTTCAGATTTTTCTGAATGGAAGTGGATTATTTATTGATTTATTTACTATGACCTAGTAAGACCGAAGAAATTCTGTAACAGTAGCGTCTGTGGACTACCTTGCAGCAGCAACATCTTCCTAGCAAAAGGGTCGTAAAATTTACGTGGGATCTTTGGGAAGGAAGAAAAAGATGATTAGGATTGAGTTACTGTTGATCTTTAACTTCTTCCATTTTCCTAGATAAAGCACTGAAGGAAATTGTTGAACGCATTCTTCAAACTAGCTACTTTGATAGCACCCACAACCATCAGAATGGGTTATGTGAGGAAGAAGAGGCAGCACCTGCACCTGCAGTAGAAGACACTGTAGCAGAAGCTGGTAAGAATATGAAGATGCCTCGTAACTAGTATATTTGTTTGTGTTGTACTGTCTTCTCTCTTTGGATTTGTAAGAATGATTAAATTGCAAATGCAGTTTTAAGCTCAAAAACCACCTGTCTCTGAATTCTTCAAGTGTACTAGTGTTTTGAATAGAAATGTTGTTTCTCGATAATCAGGTATGCATCTGGCCAGGCAGTGTATATAGGGGCATTCAGCCATTCATTCAGCCCTGCTCTGACCCATGAGGAAAAAAAAGCAGAGCTGTTCTCTAGAAGAGTTCTGTAAGGCTGACTCTTGCAAGCTACTTCTGTGGAGGGACTGTAACCTTTTCTAATGATGGCATTCTAAATATCTTCTGTTGTGTGCAAGGAAAGGCTTACTGTTATGACTGTGAAGCATCAGGTGAATGAAGGAACAAAGTCACTTAGTAGTACTTGGTTTTGAACACATAGTTCAGCATTTGTCCAATATGTCACTTGCTGAAATAAGAACCCACACTTAGAAGCAGGTTTATGCAAAGGAAAATTATTGCCAACATCTCTTTCTTATTTTGTTTTCCTGTAGAACTTCTCATTATGATTTAAAAAACAAAATTTTGTTCATCTGTAGTATTAAAAAGATTAATGTTCTGGTTGCCTGAGGCTTTTCCATTTTTCAGTGGTTCCCAGCAGTTTAATCCTTTGTAGAAGGGAAGAGTTTTTGAATCAAAGAGTGTGCTTACATACTGAAGAAATTCAAGAAAATGGTACCAAACTTTAAGAAAAATCATGACCTTTTTTCCCTTTTCTTGTGGAGAACATTGAAATTTGGAGTAGCTGAACGTAACCTTCATAGCAAGAATTTAATGTGATTTTTTATTTTTCTTTTTTAATTCAAAACTCTGAGAATCTTTGTGATTGCTAATTCTCTGTTAACGTCCTGATGTTTTTGTGTTCTTCATTCTGAGACACAAGTTTCTTCTTTATCTACCTTGGATCGTTAGGCTTGTTTCTGAACCCAGCAGATACTTAACTATACAAGTCAGCAATATTGAGACTGTAATTTCAGATCTAATCGAAATCCCATCCCCTTGAAGATGTGTGACAAGGCAACTTCTTCCTTAACGTATAGCAAGCTCTAATACTCGGTGTTAGTGTCACTGAGGAGTAAATGTGTGCCCGATCATTCTTAGACCTAGATGTACTTCCTGTGTACTAATAGTGCAGAACACTTCTGTAAAGTAGATGTTTTTAATAATGGCTACTGCCAAAATGCATCAGACTTCCTCAAAATTCCACTTCTCTTGGGGGAGACTTTTTCATCTAACTTTGTATTTTCTAGGTCTGTAACATGCAAGGGTTTTGGTTTTGTGTTGTTCATTTGTTTTTTTTTTTTTTCCTCTCACATAAACGGTGTATTTTTATTACAGAACCAGATCCAGCGGAAGAATTTACTGAACCAACTGAAGTTGAATCAACTGAGGTATTATTCACTGGAAAGACTGTCATTTTGTGTAGCTTTAATGCCACTTACTTTTACTTTCATACCCTTTCTTATTTTTATTTTAGTATGTAAACAGACAATTCATGGCAGAGGCTCAGTTCAGCAGTAGTGAGAAGGAACAGGTAGATGAGTGGACAGTTGAAACGGTTGAGGTAAGATCTTGTGTGCTGCAGGTAAAATTGCAATCCCTGTTTCTGCTGACTCACAATTCATGATAGGTTTTAGTATTGCACCCCTTCTCCCCCAGTATATATAAAAATACTTATCTTTAAATAGGCTTGGACTCACTACTCGTTCTTCAGTTACATATTTAGCTCAGGAGTACCTAAAATAAAAACTACACAGTCTGGCTACGTTTGCGGAGAACTTGCTTTTGTTCAGTAGTGCCTTGCTTGGGAAAATGGGAATTAAAAGTCTTAGGCTTAAAAAGATTTAAAATTTTTTTTTGAGGACTTTTTTTTGTAAGATAACTTTGCTGCAAATGTGGAACTTAAGTTTATCTACACAGCTGCTGACAGCATGGCATAGTTGTGCGTTTCATTGAGCAGTTCTATGGAGAGGGAGCTGAAAATCAGTATCTCAACTAATATCTACTCCAGTTCGCATATGCACATAATTTGATCTTAAAATATGCTTGTATGTACATCTCTGCTTTCAAGAACTATAGTTCTTCAAGTATTTAACTTGTTACTACTTTGCAATTGAGTGATTGTTCACTTTTGGTGTTTGTGATACGTTGCTACTGGGATCCATTCCCAGTTTAGTAATTCAGACTCTAGACTTAACTACATGTACCAATCCATTGTTGTATTATACTAGAATTTGTGTTGTTCATGTACTGGAAAGAACAAGTCACATGGAGTCATTCAAATGTTTAGTATTTTGGAACTTGGATTGTATCCCTCTGTGAGGAACAGGTATGAGCAGCATCTTTCAGGCACCAGAGACTTGACTTTTGATTCACTTTAGCGTTCTGCAGGAGCAAATTACAGATGGTCAGTTTTTTAGACTCTCTTCCTTCGTGTCTTTGAGCTCTTCTAAGTGTGTGAATGGAGTAAGTGTTCATCTCTTCAAGAGGTGAAAAAGAGAGCAGCCATTTTGATCTGATTATCTAATCTGCCCAATTTTATATTCAGTCTGGCTGAAATTCATACCTTACGGTGTTGAAGACAACTGAGAGATTTAATAATACTTAGGATGGCTGTGAGGTTTCTAGAAATAATTAGACAACTTTGGCATATATGTGAATGATTTTGGTAGTACCTTGTCATCATATTCCATTTCATTACTTAAAAAAACCCTAAAATATCAATGCTGTTGAATGTGATTTAAGAAATCTCTTAAAAAATAGAAAATTGAAGAAGTCCACCAAAACCACACATTAAAGTCATGCTTGAGTGGGGTATTCTTACAAGACATGTTATTTTAAAGTTAATGCTTGATTGCCTTCCATCTTATATTGAATTATACCCAGATCACATCTGTGTTTCTACGAAGTGTCCAGAGTAACTTAAAGGTTCAGTTCTCTGTAGTTCTTAATACAAGTAGTATGAATGAAGACATGAGAGTGTAAGAAACGTCCTTATGATTGAAGCCTGTTGTGTTTCCCTTTGCTCTTAAACTGTAAGGCTGTGTATTGCACAGTTGAAAACTCAGATATTTCCTCATGGGAATAATACCGATATGTGGTAACTGTATTAGTATGGTAAAAGAATTCAGGTTGTATTTTTTGTATCAGACCGATTTCAGAAACTCCTGTTTTTCTGAACATCTTTACTAGTCAGCTAAATCTGGATTACATCAGCTTTCTTTTCAAAGAACAATACAATAAATACATACTTCAGTTGCCCTTTCTGTCCCAATTTCTTGGACTGTGTACAAATGAGCTATTTAGAAAAATTTAGAGTTGAAGACTGCTGCTTCATAATTAAGAACTTTATTTTCTCAGGTTTCACACAAAAAGGGGAAACTGAGAATAATTGTCTTTGAAATGACTCTCACTGTTCTTACTGCACCAAAATCCCATTTCTCATGGGAATGCAACTGACTTGTCCTTAGGGAAGATGATGATACACACTGTATAGAGACCCTTTGTGCTTTCAACTCAATATAGTTGTAGCATTAATATAGTAAGAGCTGTTAAGTTTGGAAGCTGATAGTATTCTGAAAGAGAACATTTATGCAGAAGATTTCCATAATTGTTTATGAAGAGGAAGGCTGTCAGAGACTCATCTCTTTTTCAGTAGCCCTCAAGTAGATGTGATACATTCGAGATTTCTGTGGTATGGTATGTTTATAGTTTGAGAAGTGACAGTGTCTCACAATGACATTTCTGTATGGGCCTTCCATAAGTTTTCAACTAAAGAATTTGCTTGTGAATTTTCAAAGTGTATTTGCATTTGGATTATGTGATGTTTTAATTTTGGTGAAGATGTCCTTTACTGGTAGTAGTGGTCGTTTTGGTGTCGGGGGGGAGGGGGGTGTTGTAGTTGATTTTTGTTTGATAGATTTTTTTTTTTATTATTATTTATTTTTTAAAACTGCTTCCTTTGTAACAAGTACCTGAATCTGCTTGTATACAAAGTTCTCTGTGTCTTAGATTATGGAACTTTGGTTGGATGGATGTGTGTGTATTTTGCGTGGAATTGGAAACTGCTCTGTGACTGCCAGAATACAAGTTCATTCTGGTTGGTTTGTGGTGTCATTAAACTTGTGTTTTTATGTCTCCTCCTCTCCTCTTTCTTTGCCCCCTGGCCTTCTGTACCCTGTCATTCTCCTCTGGTTGTGTCTGGGCAGCTCTGCCTACTGAGAAGGTCAAGGGGCAGGGTGTCAGGAGGCAGGGTGTCAGAAGGTGAGCATGCAATTTGATGAGTCAAATACTGTTCTGCAGAGAGGTTCAGCTTTCCTGAAACAAAAGTTTCACCTTGCTGCTGTGCACTCGAGATGAATGGAGGTGTATGGTCGGGTAATAATTTGCTTTTTGAATAACGATCCTTATATTTGAGTCTGTACGTTTTTCATGCAGCAGACCGTTAGAAAGCTGTTAGCTTTAGAACTACATCCTATCCATTGGCAACTTGATATGGAAAACTTGAGGTGGTTTTTTTTTTTTCCAGTAGTTTCATCCTGCTATTACTATAATAGGTCAAAATACCTGGTAGTGATGATCAGACTAAAGGAACAGGCCCTAAACAGTTCCTTTTGACATTTAAAAAGGAGGTTTGAAAAAGACAATGTAAAAACTTGATACGGAAAACTTGAGGTGTTTTTTTTTTTTTTTTAGTAGTTTCATCCTGCTATTACAATAATAGGTCAAAATACCTGGTAGTGATAATCTAAAGGAACAGGCCCTAAACAGTTCCTTTTGACATTTAAAAAGGAGGTTTGAAAAAGACAATGTAAAATATTAAGCACCATCTGAAGTTAGTACTGCACTATTTGTGAAAAAGGAAAAGGTTTGGTAAAATTTTGTCCCTGTTCTGTGTTCTTGATTATTCCATCAACTTGTCTTTTCTTGAAGATACTGAATTGTTATGAAGTACTTGGACTTCTTAAGTAGAGTGACAGTACTCAAATAATTGAGAGCATTTTTGGTAATAATTATGTAGGAGATGAGTAGTTGCTGGTTTCACCTCTCAAGTTTCACCTGGTCATCTGGCTTGCTTTTTTTCTTTACTTTCCTTTTAAAACTTGGTAGTGTGCAAGAGGTCTATATATGTGCTCTAAATAACATTCTCAGGATTTTCCCCTGCCCAGGCCCCAACTCACAGGGCTTAATTCTTAATTTAGAAACAGTCCATAATTTGAAATTTGGGGACTGTGTAATCTAAATAATATTCTCAGGATTTTCCCCTGCCCAGCCCCCCAACTCACAGGGCTTAATTCTTAATTTAGAAACAGTCCATAATTTGAAATTTGGGGACTGTGTAATACAGCAGAACAGTTGTGCTTGTTTTCCATTGTGGATAACCCTAGGGTATATACTTCCATGGGAATTGTCAAATTGCTTCTCTTTGGATGACTAATAGTGGAGATCTGGATCTGAAGGGAATCTTGAAGAGGAATGTAGGTTTTGATTGTTTTTTACTTTTGTTTAGAGGTTCGGGTTTTTTTTGATTCAGTTATTATTTTCTGTTACAGATGGCTAGGGATTTCGTTAAGGAAAGAGTCATTGGAGTTTGTGAGGCAATTGCAAGTCTAGAATGTCATATACAGTGTTTGTAACTCTGAGCAAGGAGTAGACGTCATGGAAGATGCTGTAGATTTCTTTGAGAAATTTAAAAAAATATGTGCAGGCTTTGAGGGTGGATAGCTGGGAGTTCAAGTTTAAAGTTCAGATCTGTGGTTATAGAACTGGTCGCAAATAGTACTGTGTTGTCCCTTGTCATGACTGCTGTACAAAAATCTGTCTTCTGCAGTTCTAGTAAGAAACCAGATATTTCACATAAATATTTTGAACTTTCGGGTGCAGGTATGCTAATTTATATTCTGTGCAACTGTAAGTTTAAGGCTTACCTGTTTATCTGGAAGATTGTTAATAATTAAGAGCTGATGGGAATAGAGAAGCGATAGACAAGTTATGGACAATGTTCTTCTTTTTTAAGGACAATTGTTGACATGAATGAGCGCAGGTTAAAAATGGCACTTCTGTATGACGGGAGTTGCCTAAAGAGCAAAACTGGTTAGGAACATGAAAGTGCTATTTTGTGAAGCTCGACTGTCCTTGTAACTCTGTTTTCAAACTATTTGATGATGGATGTTCTTAGATGCTCATGTTCAGCTTCCCTGATTGCTCTGCTGTCTTTGATAAGGTGGTATTTGAAAGCATGTTGCTGTTTGTTGTACCTTTGTTTATGTGCGCCATATTGGAATATGCCTACTAAATCTGAGCTTTCTTGCCCACTATGAGTTGTGCTTCTGCTTCTGGGCTTCTGATGTCCTTCCACAGTGCTGTCTTGCAACCTTTCTGTCATGCAATGCTGCCTGCTGTTCTCTGAGACCATAAATCAGTTAGCTAGGATAACACTTGAGAACTCGGGTCTAGACATGGCTATGAAAATTTAAAATTTTGAGGTCTTAAGACTTAAGACCCAAAAATTCTGGCTCTATTTACATTTACCAAAAAGGTATGAGAAAGTAATTGTTCTCCATATGTGCATATTTCTGAAACTTACTCTTCCCTAACTTTCTTTAAATTTCCAAATGTTGATAAACTGCTATCTCAAATCCTGCTCTAAAAAAAAAATCCCTGTAACATTGAACAAATTTTTTGTTAGTACTGTTCTTAATGGGGAATAGAGTAGATGGAAAGAAAATAGAGCACAGTCTGAACTTTCTAATCCTCTGAAGTGCTCAGATCAGTAGCTGGCCACCAGTATTGGCATGACTGTAGGAGGATGTAGTATTTTTCTTCAAGAACGCTGTAGTAATTAAGTCCATAATGAGTTAGGCAACAGCCGTAAATTTCAAGAACTACTGAGTCACTTCCGTGCAGTGTTATCTTAAGCTGAAATTTCAGTAGGCTGCTTGTTTCTTGTTAGGTTGTAAATTCACTGCAGCAACAGACACAAGCTACATCTCCTCCAGTTCCTGAACCTCACACGCTCACTACTGTGGCTCAAGCAGATCCTCTTGTTAGAAGACAGCGAGTACAGGACCTTATGGCGCAGATGCAGGGCCCATATAACTTCATGCAGGTATGATGAATCCACCCTACTGTGAAGCTAGAACCAAAGAAACAAAATAACACTTTCTGACTGTTAGTCATGATTTAAAGAGTCTGCTGTAGTTTGTTTGAAAGATACAGTGGTGTTGCAAACTGTATAGTGCTGTATGGTAAGACCTTATCCAAAGCCTGCAAACCTCTATTGCTGTCGAAGTACGATTAGAATGTTATTTAGCTTTTCAGTCCTTGTTTGTACTAAATCTACAGAGGAGGCAGAAAGTTTTGCATCGCTGGGTGCCATAGTGTATTCTGCTTAAGTGAGGCCAGCTGTAAAATACCGCTCTGTAAGCTAGTTCTAAATTTTGTGTCATGAAAAACTTCTAAAGTTAGAACAACTAGAAAAGCATTGGGAGATAACAGAATATATCAGAAAAAGCCTCTCCTCCTCCTCCACAAAGAAAGAGTAGATATCTTGGTAACAAACGAGGCATGCACTTCTTAAATTCCTTTTTTTGTTTCTTCCTACAAAGTGCTAATTTAGGATAAAGAATAGTTTGGTGCCTGTTCTGTCTGGCTCTTAGAATCTCCCTCCAGTTATCTTTTTTTCAGATAAGCTCTAAGTTGTATACATGGACTGGATTTTTATTGTGATAAATACATTTTGGAATTTTTATTATCTCAATTGATTTAAATGTATGGTAAAACCAGCAATTGTGTATACTGTGGACTAAGCTTCCTTTATTGTGTCTGGTCATTTCTGTAATCTGAATGTTAATATTTTTAAAATACAGTAAACTGGATTTGATTTTCTTACTTCTCCCTCCCGCCCCCACCCAGGACTCTATGCTGGAGTTTGAGAACCAAACACTTGATCCTGCCATTGTATCTGCACAGCCCATGAATCCAGCACAGAATTTGGACATGCCACAAATGGTTTGCCCTCCAGGTTTGTAATGGTAAATCCTAAATACAAATATTGGGAAAGCCTGCGAGTCATCTGTTAGAAATTCTTCAGTTACTACTACATAGTAAAAGGGTTCATCACAAGTAATAATACAGTACCATTAAAGTGTGTTTTTCTCAGAAATGTGTTTGTACTTTTGAAGCATGCTATTTGTAGACTTCCGATTCTCACTTGCTTCTAGGTTTTACTTGGAAATGTGGAACATTAAAAAAAATTTTTTTTTACATGGGAAAAATATAGTTTTCCTTAGTATTTGGGAAATTGGTGGATTTTTTTTGAACAACTGGAAAAAATGTACTTTGCATGGAAATGGTAATTGGTATTTTGAGTATAGCTTTGCCATGCTAAAGGGATAATTGTCTTTACGACGATCAACTCTCAAATAACTGAGGTAGATAAGATGGTAATGCTGTTCTGTAAAAGGTTTGATTGTAATAAGTGAAATTATTTCATTTTAGTTCATGCTGAGTCAAGACTTGCCCAGCCTAATCAAGTTCCTGTGCAACAGGAAGCTACGCAGGTAAAACATTTAGTAGATTTTAGTTTGGATTTTAAATTGGTTTTAAGCTCGATTGATGTTACAATTCCTAACTATATGAGAAACTCAAAGAAAAAGCTGAACTTCTGATTTTGGGCAATTGGTCATCTCCATTATCTCTTCAGTTTTATCGCTTATAAGGATTACTATATACAGTTTTTATGCTATGCAGATATTGCATATTTTCTGTAATGGAGTCTTACCAGGCATTATCCTGTTTGGAAATCTGTTGGTTCAAGGTTGAAGTAAGAGTTAATCGAGGAAACTGCATTTCTAATTAGAGGCCTCTTAAACTGAAGGGCAGGAGCATGGAAGCAGTTGCAGTTTGCACTGCTCATTCTAATGGCCCAATGTGGACTTCCTGGCACTTACCAGTTCTTGAAATCTGTGGAGCTCACCTCAGTCTTCAAATTCACTGTGTGGATGTGATTTTTCACTTCACAAATTGACTTCCGTGCATCTGTGTGTTAGGCTGCCGTCGCTTAAGATCTGTGTTACATGTGACCGTGGTGAATTTTGTTTGTTTCATGATTGAGAGGAAGGACTTTGTTTGGAATGCTGCTTTCTCTAGTCCTACTCTAATACAGCGGTTAGAGGTTTCTCTGTGCATTCTGTTCAAGATAGACTAATAATTTGACATGTCAGTCTTTGCCTAGTAGTGTTCTCTTTCACATTAAGCCACGTGTAGTAATATTTTTAATTTAGATAGGAGCAAGTTGTCCTTTATTTGCTTATTTGCGACAGAAATGCCAAAACCAAAATAACTTGGTTAAAGGGCAGTCTGGAATTGTTCCAGTGAGCGTTAGGCCACAGATAAATTTAATGGATTAACTATATAGTTTGTGTTCTCTTTTTTTTATTTGTTCTGTTAAGGATTAGTCTCAGTTGCTTGCTTAGATAGTATTTTAATACTGGAGTTGTAAAGCAGTCAGAGTGCGCTTGAAGGCTGTTTTCAGTTGAGTTTTCCCAAAATTCTTGTTTAAGTAGGATCTGTTAAACTTGCTTCTGCAATGTATAAATGATGTATTCACCTTTTCATTAAGATGTGTCAGTTTCTTACTGAATTGTCTGGTGATTAAAGAACTTGCTGATTTTGTATTGAGCATGTGTGGCATCTCTGAAGGACTGCTGATCTCGGGTAATGATCCCTGTAGGTATTTGAAAACCAGAAGAAAAATGTGGATAGATTGTGTATCTTGGAGTAATGGTAGTGTAAATTGCTTGCTTTATCTTGTCTGGGTTAGATCTGCAAGTTTTAAGTCACTGATTTTTATTTTACTGTTAAATGTTGTCTGTGACTTACTCCAATGGATTTTTTTTTTTTTCCCTCTTACTTTGCTTACCTCAACCAGTGCTGCCAATGTATTCTCTTGGGAATTTTGCAAGCAGTAGCTAAACTTACTTCATTCCTTTTGAATGTTCAACAAGATGATGTGAACACACCTATCGGTTGTTACCAGTTGCTTCTTAAAGTCCCCAGTAGCCTTAAGTGCAAAGTTCTCCACTTTGCTGGCTAGGGTTTTCACTGGACTCTGTGTAGGGGAGCAGAGGCTGTAAATGAACAAATTCAGTCCATTGGAAAGCAGCACTTCTCTTTTTCTGTATGAGCTTGAAGTTCTCTCATTTAAACTTCCGTATATTTCTCTTTTTCTCTCCCCCTCGCCCCCCCCCTGCTTTATTGTTATGTTAGTTGGGGTTGCATAAGGAAATGAGGAGAAGGATGTTCTTCAGTAAAAGCAAATATATGTCCAGCTGATTCGGGAATGTCCACAGATTCCAGTCTGACAGGGGTGGGTGGTGTTGCATGTTAGAATATATGTCCAGTTGAGGTGATTAAACCTCTACTTGTTAAAAAGTATTTAATTTTTAATGGTTGTAAAGATTTGATGGAATATGTAGTTTTACGAGAGAGTACCGTTCATTCCAGAGTTCTCTGATCAGTTTTATACAACTGTGTGTAAGCATCAGCTGACATCTGGGGGCTTTGGTGGTTTTTTTGTCAGGTTCCCTTGGTTTCTTCTACAAGTGAGGGATATACAGCCTCCCAACCCATGTATCAGCCTTCTCACACAACAGAGCAACGGCCACAGAAAGAATCAATTGACCAGATTCAGGCAAGTGTGCTTTCACAGGGGTGGGAAGGAGTCTGCTTGCAGGTGTGATCAAATACTGGTCTGTGTTTCTTTGTAAATAAAGTTTTGTAATTTTTAGTTACCTATTAATAGGGCCACTTCAGTTCCATTGAATTTCACAATTTTGAGCCTGTCTGACCAGAAAGTCCTTCATAGTAAGACTTTTAATTTACAAGATTGTCTGTTTAGCTAGAAGTAATGTGCCAACATCAACGTATGAGCATCAGTGTTGTTGGCTTAAGAAATGATATTTATTTTTTTACATTGGCTAGCAGTTAGCCCAGAAACTTGTTCATTTCCCCCTCTAGATTTTTCTAGTTGTTTCAAGTTAATGAGGGAGAAGGCTGCTAGGTTTTTCCTCTCCTGTTATGCTGTGAATGAGGCTGTTCCGCTGAAGTAGAAAATACTGATTTGTTGAGGTGAACCTGAGGCATTGTCAATTTTTTTTTTTAATAAAAGTGAAGTTGTTAAGTTTAATTTTTGGTATTATTCAGAAGCTACTAAAATGTTGTTTGTTGTAATTATTAGGCTTCAATGTCGCTGAATGCAGACCAGACCCCATCGTCATCATCACTTCCTGCTGCATCCCAGCCACAAGTGTTCCAGGCTGGATCTAGCAAGCCTTTGCATAGCAGCGGAATCAATGTTAATGCAGCTCCATTCCAATCCATGCAAACAGTAAGTAGTAAATTATTATTGAATCCCTTTATTTTGGTAGTCATTCCTTTTGTTGTTTTACAAACACTGGAATTGGTCATGTAATTACATAAGATAGCCTTTGGTTATTCACATTTCTCAGACTTGCATGCTTCTTTACATGATGCTACTGAAGAATTGTAAAAAAATGAATTGGACCAGAGAGCTATTTTTCTAACATTATAGGTATTCAACATGAATGCACCTGTTCCTCCTGTTAATGAGCCAGAAACACTTAAGCAGCAAAACCAGTACCAGGCCAGTTACAACCAGAGTTTCTCCAATCAGCCTCACCAAGTAGAACAATCAGATCTTCAGCAAGAACAACTCCAGACAGGTAAACTTACTTTAGCAAAAACTAAAATGGCAATAGCCTCAGTACAGCAGATGGAGCAGGCTCTGAAGTCCTAGATGATGTAGCAAAGCATGTCACACATTCTCAAATGTTCTTAGTCTTGTGAAGCTTTCCCCTGAGCAATATTGGCTTTTGTTATTCTGTCTCGGTTTCACTATCCAACTGGGGGTGAAATTCAGTGTGTATATATATCTCATAACTGTTAAAAAGAATTTTCCCACTTGATTCAGTTTTATGTGGGTTTAGAAAAAAGCATGAACAGGATTAAGGATTATCCTAAAGATGAAAGCAGTATCATGGAGTACTTGCTTTGCTGATGTTAAGGTTGGATGATCCTTAAATTTGCTTTAAAAAAGGTTATACTATTAGAGATGACATTTAAAAAGGAAATAGTAAGCTGGAATCGAGAGCAAATATGAACTGCTTCTCACAGATGATGTAAGATTCACAAAGTTCTAAAACCTTTTGCTAAAATCAGTTAGACATGGTTTGAATACAGCAGGCAAAATGCTTTCTAAGTTAGCAATTCCAAGAAACCAAACAAACGGTAAAATAAAGTAAGCACAAAGCTATTCTAGCACTCTCCTCACCTTCCACTGAGATAAAATTTGCAGGTGCAGAGAGGAATTTTGAGTGAAGGACACAGGACAGAGATGACAAGGGTGAAGTGCTAACATCTACTGGAGGTGGAGTAAGGAAAAAGTGCCTGATCCTTTTTCTCTGTGACTGATTATGATCTTGAAATTTGTCTTCCTTGCAAGTTGAGATACTGGGATGGGTGGATGGGAAGAGGGAGAACCAAGTTTTCATTGTTTATCTGTATGGCTTTTGAGCCATATACAGCACAAGGCAGAAAGACAGTCTGGGGAATGCTGATGTTGAAGGTGGGCCATGCAGTGTTAAGTGCTTAACTTATTGTAACAGTAAACGGAACTGTTGATACACAGAAAATACAGTGGCCTTAGAACAAAACCTGCACACATTAAACACTCAAAATGATGACCACTTCATGCCTTCCACAAGAACCGATGGGGAGGAGGGAGGACCTATGCATAAGTTCCGTAGTGCTCCATGACTGAGTGAAGTAGACAGAAAGTTGTGTTCCCTGTTGGGTGATTTCCTGCATATGAGAGGGACTCGACACTTAAAAATTTTCTTGGAGATCTTGCTTCAGCATTTGTTATCAGGCTAAATTTTACAGCCGTTTTGCTCTTACATACTGAATTTCATCTCTTATTACACTTACTGAGCCTATAGCCCTCGGATTGCTTTTGTAATCCACTTCATTCCTGACGATTCCTGTGAAGTAAAGATGTTGTGGCATACCTTACTTCAGAGGAGTTAGTCTTACTTCAAAGATGCAGATAATCTTAAGCTATCCATCCTACTCGTGCCTTTTGATGTACATGTCCTGTAGAAAGAATCCCCCAGACGTACAGTCAAAATGTCAGCTCCGTTAATACGTTCCCATCAATCTCACCTTAGTCAGCACAGCTGCACCTAATAGAGAGATATAGAAGGGGGTTAACTTACTCATACTGTTTTTTTCTAGAGTATATGGCGCTGATTTTCAAAGGGTTTGAAATAGCACAGGAAGATTGTACCTGCATTAGGAATGTTTGTTGCTGAGCTTACACTAGAGACTTCTTTACACTGACTTAAATTAACTCTTCACCATTTCTAGGTTCTTTTAATATTGTGGGATATCTGACTAGTAAACTTGGTACTTAATTCTGCAGATTATTTTTCTTTGAATGGGTGAGCATTTATCGGTGTGTTCAGTGGTATTTCAGAGCTTTGAATGTTGAGTTTGAAGAGAGTATATGTGGGAACATAAAGAAATGCATGCTTTTAATACTTCATTTTTTCCCCCCAATTCCAATATAGTGGTTGGTACTTACCATGGCTCCCCGGACCAGACTCATCAAGTGGCGGGTAACCACCAGCAACCTCCCCAACAAAATACTGGATTTCCACGTAATAGTCAGCCTTATTACAACAGTCGAGGAGTGTCTCGTGGTGGATCACGTGGGGCTCGTGGCTTAATGAATGGTTACAGGGGACCGGCAAATGGATTTAGAGGTACACAGCTTTATTAAACTCTCTCATTTGTCTTTTACTTACTTCTTTCTGGAAACACCATGTCAAGATGCCAAACATTAAACTGATGTGCTGATGAATTCTATACTGTAGAAGTATCTCTGTAAGATACTTAAACTTGTAGTAAAAATTTCATTTGCTTTAGCTAACTTGAGCAACTTAAGTTTTAGGTGTTTGGCTAGGCTTCCTACTAGGATGTAAACAAAGAAACTTTTTTGCCTGTTCTGTACTGAAGGCTCAGGGTTAGTTTGATTAAGCATCCACTGTAAGTATAAGCAAACATGGAAATATCCAGCAGAATTTTACAACCATCAAGTGAGGAATTCAGGTGCAATTGATACTTCAAAAGTGATTTTTATTTCCTGTTATGGTAGAAGCAGTGTATTTTAGAGTTCCATGTTTCATATTGAGAATAGGCTGGATAATGTAGAAATACAAGAAAAAAGTCCAAAAGTCATTACTTCGAGTGAATTAACAGGAACAGAGGAGTGATACTGTAGTTCTGGATAGATAAGAGAACTTTCATGATTCCTGGAGATGATTGTATGTGCCTGTCAATGTTAGGAAGATGTGTATGTTAGAATGGGGGAGAGAGAGGGTTCATTGTCAGGTGTTCTGGGATGAGACAAATGGATTCAGTACTGTCTGCGTTTGCCATGTTATCTTCCTGTCATGTGGTTGGAGAGTAGAGGAGAAACCTGTATAATAAAAATACAACTGATTGTAGGAGGGAATGCAGTGGTCACTACTTGCCTGCTTAAAATGGATATGGGTTCCCAGTGTTAGACCCTTGGGACTGGAGCCATCCTTGGACATGGTTCCCAGCGCTCAGAAGAGCCTTGGCTCAGGAGCAGCTTCTCGCTTGAGTTGGCTGTTGTGGCCTTGCAGGTCACAGCTGTTAAATTTAGATGTAGTATTATGGTTAGCTCTGGATTGAATATTGTGTAAATCAAACCTCAAATTACTAGAGAAATACATTGAATTGCTGTCTCTTCCCAGTTCTTACTAGGTCTTCATTCTTGTTCCTTGTAATAGTTATTAGCACTGATGTTGCAAACATTTGCTTGACTTGCAGGTAAACAGTACTTACTAAAGGGTTTCTTCCCTCAGGTTTAGGTAAAATGCTGTTACTGCTTTTCTTTATATGGTAGCATAAAGTAACAGATGATCATTTCCAAGTGAAAGACTTGTACCCTGTTCCTTAGGAGGATACGATGGCTACCGTCCTTCCTTTTCCAACACTCCAAACAGCGGTTACACGCAGCCCCAATTTAATGCTCCTCGGGATTATTCAAACTACCAGCGGGTAAGCTACCGTTGTGTTGTGACAGTCTAGAAGTAGAAGAAAAAAGTACTCATCAATGAGAACACTCAAATCTATTAGTGAAAAGTCTTCTGAGGACTTTTTTTATTGCTAATGAAGACAAAAATTTTAGGTACTAAACAGATATTTAGAAATAGATTGTTAAATGACTGGTTGTATTTGGGAAATGTGATTGATCTCTAAAGGAATTAGTCTAGTAACTAGAGCAAGGTTGAGAGAATTGTAAAGAACTCTTTGTTAAATATAATTATTTTCACAGCTTTGTGGGAAAGAAACTTAAAAGAACTTAAATCTATTGAAATTAACTTTTCTAAGTTTTTTGAGATTGCCTGTCTTCTGTAATGCTGATATGTTATTCTGAAATTTTTTTAGAAAATGTTGTTCTGAAGGAGGTATGCTTGGTTTGCTCAAAGCTTAGACTGGCTGGTGTCACGGTCCACTAAGTAATGGAC